TTGTGGCTTTGGCGGCAGCCGGTAAAGAAGCAGAATGGCTAAGGAATCTGATATATGACATTCCATTGTGGCCAAAACCAATATCTCCCATATCTATTCGATGCGATAGTGAAGCTACTTTGGCTAAGGCTTATAGTCAAGTTTACAATGGGAAGTCAAGACACTTAGGTGTGAGACACAGCATGGTTCGAGAGCTCATTATGCATGGTGTGATATCAGTGAAGTTTGTAAGGACTCAACAAAATTTGGCTGATCATTTAACCAAAGGGTTAAATAGAAACCTTGTGCAGAGATCGGCTATAGGGATTGGATTGAAATCTATCTAAAATTTCTCATGGTAAGAATCCCAATTCCCATCTAATAAGACATTAGATGTTGAATTCAATGTGGAAAATCTTAACATCTTGAAATTGGAACACATTAAGTATATTATCCCAAAGTATGTGTTCAGACCTGTAATATTAGGAGGATGAAGTACGTTTTCTTAATATTTCTTTTGAAAAATTGCATATGCAGGTGCAAGAATAAAGAGGACTACCTATATGAGCAGGGTTCAAGGGGCAACACCGTTTTTTGGAGAACTTCCGCGCGAAGGATCGCGTAACTTGGGAAAGAGACGCGATAGGCGTCTTCTCCCTCTGCCGCAAGTTTATAAATTCCCGCAGGCCTTGGTCGGATTTCAGTTCGGATTTTTCAGAGCAATCCTCATATTTCGTTCTTGATACTTTCGAGTTTTATCCGATTGAATTTTGGAGTGAACAACCAAAATATTCAATCTGAAAGTGTTTACACAACCCTCGATTCATCCAAGTTATCATTAATTTTTCAACACACAATAGATATTTCTTCACTGTGTAAAGTCAATTTTTGTTTTGAAAAATAATTATTTTAAAATATTTATTTCAATAGTATTGCAAATCCATGCCACAAAAAAGCAATTGAACAATATGCACACAACAAATGCAATAATCACTACTATAAATTGAACAAATTTTTAAATTTAAATATTTTATAAGCATAAAGTTGAATATGACAACTCTAAGAACTAAATCTTCATTTACTTTTTAAAAAACCCCAGTGTTCACATGAACTACAACATCTACAGTGGGAACTTTGAAGTTCATTCTAGTCAATAACTTCCCCCCATTGAGTGTTGGTAGTACACTTGTTGCTCAAGTATTGCTAGGAATGATGTTTAATGATGCAGCTCTTCCATCTCCTCAATCTTTCATGGATGGACCAAAGATGATTTTCTGGGCAGCAGCTATGAAGTGTATAGTAGTCATGTGGCCCTAAGAAGTGTAATGGTCACTTAAGAGTTTAAATTAGAGGGACATATCACACAATAAAGCATTTAAGTTAAATGTTGCCATTATTATCACACTATGCACCTGAGATTCTGCAATATTAAGAAGTATAGGTGGAATCATAAGTTGCACAACTAGAATTTTAAGCTCTGTAAAAATATGGGCAAAGATCTTGCAAATATGATTTCACTAACATGCCAATTCATCAGCCCCTTCAGAAAAATATCAGTTCTTAAGGACTGAGTCCTTCATGTTTGTCTTAACCAATCTCAAAAACTTGTAGTTTTTTGCAATTTGTTATGGCCAAAAGCCTAAAAATTTTACAAGAAGTGCAATAACCAGGCATTCTTTATAAAATATAGGTTGGAGAAAGTATAATTTCCTTAGTGACTCCAAACTAATGGGGGCAAGTAATTGGATAGGTTGATTTCATTCTTATGCAATTATATCAACAAAAACAACAAAACTACTTGAGATTCTATTTAAGTGTCTTTATGTTCTCTCAATTTTATTTTTATGCAATTATATCAGGAAAAATAATGAAACTACTATTAGAGATAATTCAAAATCATATCAACCAACAAATTAAGAAAAAGCACAATTACTATCAATTTTGAGTATAAAGTGTGGATCTTTATTAAATTACACTTTCATTTAAACTCAATTAGATTTGAAGGAGTTGAGAAACACCCAAAAATTAAGTTCAAAATATAAAATATCATTACCTTATAAGAAGACACTCTTAATACAACAAGAATTTAAGACAATTTTTTCACAAATTAGCTTTAACATTAGATACAAATAAAACTCTTATCAATTAAACACTCTCTAGTTCTAAACAATAATTCATTCTAATTCTATTTTTCATACATCAGAATCATTGATAACCACCTTGGAGTTAATAAATTCTTCCCACAACACAAATTAAACTAAATATCAATCATCCAATTAAATTATAGTCCGTGTAAAGCTAACCACAATTCAAAACCTAACTCATTAAACCAACCCAAACAAATTCAAAATCTGTATTCTTAAAACGGTGAGGTTCTAGTGACACTTATCTTTGGTGACACTAGCGGTGCTACTGTCATTTTAAGGCACTTCTGGTAACAGTTCATACCCCCTAACCCACTCCTTAAACCCCCCCACCCTACCCAGCCCCTGCACCCCCACCCCAACTGTTAGGCGTGTCGTAGCACCTACAAATTAATTTATTATTTTCCTTAACTCTTAACCCCCTTTATGCATTAATATTGATTAAAACATATAGATAGGGCAAGTAAGGGTCGATCCCACGAGGAAAGATACTTTTTAAGCTATGAAAATCAATTTACTTTGTCACTTTTATTGACTAAAAACTAACTAAAACTAAATAACTAAATCTAAAAGATATGGGGGGTTTGAATGACGATTCTAAAAAGATAAAAATGCAAATAAAATAAAGATAAAGGATAACTGATAAGAGATAAGAGCCAGAACCACAACAACAACTCGAACTCAGAAGAACACTCAAGGAGAAAACAAACACACAAGAACAATCACACCATAAACTTTATAAAAACGTAGACAGTAATAATTAACTTAAACCATTTTGAAAATACTTATAGTTTTTAATAAAAATAAACTGAACAAATCTGATTCACTAATTTATCATGTCTTGATTCTGAAATTAAACTGCCAATTAAACTCAGGG